TTCCCCCCTTTTCCATTTCTTCCTTCCACCCTCACCTAAAATCACAAATTGGAAGTGGTAAGTGACCGCACATAATCATTTTCCGAAGTAGTGGTCATCTGGGAATACCTTCTGTTAATGGGAAGATTCAGGAGCAGAATAGAAACATGTACAATCTGGTTTAGCCTTGTGCGGCTGTGGCTAAGATGGAACCTAATATGATAAACTGCTGCATATGAAAGTAGCGAAGCTACTGTGGCTGTAATTTTTGCATTGTGTGTCTTTGAAGCCATACAAATACAAATGAATTGCTTTCAGACAAATGTAAAGCAGGGGAAGCCTTGCAATATAAAGCTTTACTTATACGGACAGTCATCTCTTCTGTACTGTTAAGTACATGACCTTTTTGATGAACTATGTTTAAGTCATAGACATCTTTAAACTGATAAAGGACCCCTAATGCTGCAGAAGCCTATGGGGTTCTGAATAGCTACTTAACATTACATTGCAAATATCTGTCACTTTTTTTTAAGTGTAGAATCTGTTTCCAAACCTACTTTATATTTGGTTTAAGATACATGAGCTGGTTTCCATTAACCTATTGCATGCTCTAGATTTAAAATAGTGTGAGTTTTGGACCTATTAGAAATTGAGGGTCCTTTGAAATGGCAAATATATTCCATACCCTGAGAAAATCAGATTAGGGCTTGTCCTGTCCGTGTTCTCTCTACCTCCACCCTGATGAAATGACCTAAGGAAGCTGAGGAGTCTCTTTATGAAGTCCAGTTTAGATGGCAAGTGGCTGATAGTAGTGGTTAACTTTTTTGAGACTGCTGTCTTGGCACTATGGTGCTGGTTGTTATTATTATAAGGTCTGGTTCCCACATGTTCTGGTTTTAAATTTTTCTGATACTTCTGGATATTCCCATTGACCATTGGGGTCTAGAAAGGGAGCTTGGCATGAAGGGGAAGTAGTCAGGGAGAAGTATCCATAGAGTGAGAGCCGTGCATAATTAAGTGCTGGACTCTTTTGTCTTCTGTCATGTTCAGGAGTAAGTCTTCATCTGAGAAGATGCTGAATATGTGTGTTCATCTGATTGTGAAATCATACGAAATTTTGGTAAAGTCATCTTCACTTTATTATTAAGACTGACTAGGTATCAGTCCTTTAGAAAAGAAATGTAACTGTGACGTTTCAACCAGCTGGATAGGCTGTTGAAAATTTATGGCAAGGCCACATGAGTATGAATATTGTCATGGTTTAGCCCTAGCCAGCAACTAAGTACCACACAGCTTCTTGCTGACTACCCCCTGGTGGGATGAGGAAGAGAATTGGAAAAGTAAAAGTGAGAAAACTCATGGGTTGAGATAAGAACAGCTTAATATTTGAAATAAAGTAAAATAGTAGTAGTAATAATAATAATATGCAAAGCAAGTGATGCAGGATGCAGTTGCTCACCACGTGCCAACCGATGCCCAGCCAGTCCCCGAGCAGCAATCGCTGCCCCTCGGCCAACTCCCCCCAGTTTCTATACTGAGCATGACGTCATATGGTATGGAATAGCCCTTTGGTCAGTTTGGGCCAGCTGTCCTGGCTGTGCCCCCTCCCAGCTTCTTGTGCACCTGGCAGAGCATGGGAAGCTGAAAAGTCCTTGACTAGTGTAAGCAGTACTTAACAACAATTAAACCATCAGTGTGTTATCAGCATTATCCTCATTCTAAATCCAAACCACAGCATTGTGCCAGCTACTAGGAAGAAAATTAACTCCATCCCAGACGAAATCAGGACAAATATGTATACAGACTTTATATAGTAATGGTTTCACTTCTATTTTAAACACTATCATTAATGTATATTCCTTAGAATGGTAATCTTGGCACAATAAGGAAGGTGAGAGTATATGTCTGTATATATAAATATGTACACACTTGTTCTAATAGGAGGTGCTGTATGTCACAGAAGGTACCAGTCTTGGATCACATATAACGAAGTTAGGTGCTGAGGGCCAGATGTAGTTGAACTTGACTTGAAGTTAATTTTTTTTCTTTAACTACTGTTTAAATTAAAAACTGAACCACAGCTGACACAGGCTGTTGTATGGGGATTAAAAAAAAATGAATCCACAATCTGGAATGCTTTCTAGTGATTTTAGTCTTTTGGAAAAGCTGTCATTCATGTTGTTCTTTTAACAAGGCTAGATTGAGCTAAAAAGAGTGGAGAGGGGAAGAAGGGAAAGGGAATTCCCCGTTATACTTTTTACTTGATTCATAACTTATTGTCTGTGTATTTTCAGCTGCTGGCACCACAGAACAGATCAAACATTTACAGGGATTATTTGGTTTCTTCACTGATGTATGAATAAACCTTTCTTTAGCCTTAAGCCTGAAATTCTTAAAGGCAGTTGAAATTATGTCATAGTAGTACAGTGCTTTATGGAATTGCCAGTACTTTTTCAAGTAATACTTATTCTGACTTCATTTTCAAGGCACTGAATTCTGTTCTACCAAGAGAAGCTGGTTTAAAATGTTGGGCTTTTAAACTTTTGGGTAAAGAGGAATACCCAGGTAAACAGTAAAATAAAGGTGAAAACAGTAAACACTCAGGTAAATGTTAAAGTGTCATCTGCATTTATGTTTTGACTTTCCAGAGTTTTGCAATTTTAATCTAGTTTAATTTGATTTGTGGTGTTATTAGAAGTAAATTGTGCATATCCTTGCAGAAGATGCCAAGAGTTCTAACCATTGCTTTCCCCAAAACTGGACTTGATTTTTTTAATATGTCATACTGTAGCTAGTGTTACCATAGCATTTTGCTAGATGCAATGTGAGCTATCTACCACTTGCATGCTAGGTATAATCTTTATTTCAAAATTCGTGTCTGTGAAATGTTATCCCTAGTTATGTTCAGGCTAGGCTTGATTGCAGTTTCAGTTGAATGCTTGCTGAACACTGAGCAGTGGCTTTTTCTTTTGCTATTTGACAATAATAGGTGTTTGTTCTTACTCCTAGAACAACAACAACCTAGATGCCTGTTGTCGAGCCCTCGCGCAGGAGAGCAACAAATACTTATATATGGAGTACCATAGCCCTGATGACACCAGAATGAATAGAAATAGCCTTTTGCACATTAATCTGGGTATTCATCCTCACACCAGCTATCATGCAGGGGATGGAGCTCAACTTAATGGTGGTCGTACACTGGTACACAGTTCAAGCGATGGACATATTGATCCACAACGCACAGCAGGTAAACAGCTGATATGCTTAGTTCAAGAACCACATTCTGCTCCCGCTGTTGTGGCAGCTTCTCCTAGTTACAATCCATTTTTCATGAATGACCAGAATAGAAATGCAGCTACTCCTCCTCCACAGCCACCTCCACAGCCATCTTCCATACAACCAGGAATGAACACGTCTGCTATGCAAGGCCCTCCTCCTACGTATATGCACATACCTCGGTACAGTACAAATCCCATTACTGTTACAGTATCACAAAACCTCCCCTCTGGACAGAGTGTACCCAGAGCTCTACAAATTCTTCCACAGATTCCAAGCAATCTTTATGGGACTCCTGGCTCTATTTATATAAGGCAAACATCTCAAAGTTCTTCAGGACGACAGACTCCTCAGAATGCACAGTGGCATTCATCGCCACAGGGCCCAGTTCCACATTATAGTCCCCGTCCTCTACCTGTGTATCCACATCAACAGAACTACCAACCTTCTCAGTATTCTCCTAAACAACCCCAGATCCCTCAGTCAGCTTTTCGATCACCACCGGCATCCCAGTGTCCCTCTCCCTTTGGCTCTCCTCAGCACCAAGTTCAGCCTCCTCAGCTGAGTCATCAGAGTTCACATGTTTTCATGCCTCCTAGTCCTTCAACTGTCCCACCCCATCCATATCAGCAAGCATCCCAAACTTTTCAAAAACAAGGCGGTCACTCTGTATCGTATCTTCCTCCTTTTGCTGGACCTAGTTTATCCAAAGGTTCCATGAATAAAATAGAAATTACAGTTGAGCCACCACAAAGACCTGGGACTGCAATGAACAGAAGTCCTTCACCAATAAGTAATCAACCATCTCAACGAAACCAGCACCCACTGTATGCAGCCACTACTCCTCCTTCAAGCTCTCCATCAAGAGGTATGTCAGGTCAACCCAAACCTCCATTTAGTGTTAATCCAGTATATATTACCTACACTCAACCAACTGGACCTACAGGTGCACCAACACAGTCTCCTCGGGTAATGGTATCTCAGCCAAACCCAACCATTTTTAAAATCACAGTAGGTCGAGCACCGACTGAGAATCTTTTAAATTTAGTGGACCAAGAAGAGCGTTCTGCAGCACCAGAACCTATTCAGCCTATTTCTGTAATCCCAGGATCTGGAGGAGAAAAAGGAAGCCATAAGTATCAGAGAAGTTCTAGTTCTGGATCAGACGACTATGCTTACACCCAAGGTAAATGTTTTACCCTGCAAATGTATTATTATAAAACGCATTTTCAGCCTGATTTTGCTACTTACTGAGTGAGAATTTTTGAACCTGTACAGAGAAGACTAGAAATTGCACCAAAAATCATCGAATGAGAGAGTTTGTTCTGATTTTTTAAAAATTTTGCCAAATTTCAGTCTAACACATAAAGAATTTCCAAGGTTCTTAAAATTGCTATGCTTTTGATGTTAGGTGAATTTCTTAAAAGAAAACACAGCAGCTAACAAGAGTAAGTGGTTTGTTCATATACTGTGTGTCCAGTTTGTAAATTCTGCATTGAGGAATTGTGTCATAAATTTACATGTGGATTTTATTACTTTTTGTATTTGTTCTGTACTCAGGTGCTTTATAAAACCTGAAGCACTAACTTCTGCAGGGAATTTGAATCCAATTTATTTGGTTTAGATTGAAGAGTATTAAGTGAAAGAGGAGAGAGAGGTAGGATTGCAGCTAAAATTACTTCGGGTGTCAATATAAATCATATTTTTGTTTTGAAAGGTATTAAAATAATTAATTTGAAGAACTTAATCAGAAGTTCACTTCTACTTAGAGTTTTCAAAGAGGAGGAAGAGATTGGCAGACAAATTTTAGGATGTGTGTTCTGCTGCATAGGGATAGAACATAGTCTTAATGACATGTATAAATGAAGAATTAAGTAATTTAGTAAAAAAAAAAGTGAAATCTAACCTTTAGCTGAAAACTGCTTTTCTCAGTGATCTGCTTCATAGATTTGAAACATTTAAACTTGAGCAAATGAATCAGTCTGCAAGCATTCAAACTGATCATTTGGGGTAACGACAGAATGATAATCAGCAGCAATTATTTAAAGAATGTGCTTTGTTTCTGGATCTGTATTTGGGAAAGAGAGCCTATTCCTCCATTGCTCCTTCTAGCCTTCCTTTCACTTCAGAGAGCTGAAATAACGGTTATAATGCTGCCTTGTAGTTTTTGACTTCTTATTTCACTTTGTGTCTTTTGAGCTATTCTAACTCATCAACAAAGAGATGTTCTGTACCTGGCAGACCCAGTTAGAAATGTTATTTAGAGAGAATGAATGCTAGTAGGTCTGTAACTCCTAGGCCGTATGCTTTGTTTGATAGTGTTCCTATTACAGCTTCATTAAAGATTGTCAATTATGTGAGAAAACTCTAAGTACCTCCACATGCCTGAGGAAGAACATATTCTGAAACGTAGAAATCTGGTTTTGCCTTTGTATCTTTGACTAGATTTGCGTATTTGGAAAACAAAACCAATAAAACTAGTTAGTATGTTTTTTCCGGCGTCTGCTTTTGTGGCAGTACCTACCACAGCTGGGACTTTATTATAGCCTTTGGTATTGCTGCTCTGAACTCTTGATAGAAGTCAATTGTAGAAGAATAAACGTTATATTCCTTACTACTACAAAGAAGTCCTAAAGAAGAGTATATTTAACAGCTTAATATAGTGAACAAGTTTGTTTAATTTTGTTTTGAATATGAACCATTATGTAAAGCATTATCAAAAAATCTGTTCTGGTGTCTCTACTTCCACTGTTTCTTTGTAGCATGAGTCATGTTTGAGTTGTACTAGAGTATAATGTGAAGCTATGTAATATAGTAATATCAGATGTTAAACTGGAGGAGTCACAAAAAGACAAGGTTTGATAGTAATTGTGGAAAATCATACAACCTGGTATCTGTACTTTTTTTCTAATTTTGTGATCTCTTAAACTCTACTTGGATGACTTATGCTACTTCAAAAAGTAGAGAACAGTTTTGTTCAGTAATACTGGTGCCTGTATTGTAAAAACATCTGATGTTATTCTTAGATAGGATTTTCAGTGTTTATTCTTTGGCCGTGAATTGATGGATCCATACAAAATCCAAAGTATAATGCTACTTTTTTGCACAGAATACTGACATCTGATAAAACACACTGTCATTTTTATGCTCCTCACTGTTTGGGTTTTTTATCCTCCCCCAGTAAGCTGTGTCATTGTTGCTTATTTTTCTAACTTTTTTTTTTTTACCTAGTATGCAAATATTCTTGAGATGATATGTGATTTTCCTTTGCCTGTGTTGGATAGGGGTGAAGAAAAGGGCTGGTGCTTTGTATGAAATAGCATTTTGCAGATTCTACGACATCTTCATACATTTGAACAGTTTGCTGGAACATTGTTATATGAGCAGCATGCTTGTCTGAATACCCACAGCAAATTTACTTTTCTCTGTCCTGGTAGACTTTAATCAGGTAAAAACAGCCAGATCAGAAAGTACTAAGCATCACACTAATTAACTTGGCCAGTTTTGCATCATGATGAAATACTGAGAAACGCTCTTTCTGCAGAAACTGAATATTGTTTTCTAGCTAGTCAAAATTCTTTCTTTGGCTGCTCTGGGAGCCCAACATCAGCTTGTGACTGAGAGTCATAAATTTCAGTACCATGACAAAAACATGAGAGAATGATTAACAGCAGAGAGAGGTTAGAGGACAGTGAATCAGCTCTATTGTAGAATTAAAGACTCTGAAGTACATGAGCTGCCCCCACTTCTTATTTTCTGGATTCTGTAGTCTGTTTTATTCAAGTTCTATAGTTTTGCCTTTAAGCATTGGGGAACTTACAGTATTGAGAATTACACTACTCTCTGAAAAGCTAAGACTACTTAAAGTTATTCTAGCATAATCTCTAATGGCAGTGGAAAAACAATTCGGGACTGACATTTGGCTAATGTCTCAGGGCTAGTGTGTCAGCTGCTATTGAGCAGCAGATATAAAGTATGTGTTACCTTCTGATCTTACCTCTGGTATTAATTTTTTTTTTGTCAGTACAGTATTAATATAACTAGGTTGCTGTTTCATCCTGAGAAGCTGTCTCCTTGTACAGGTGCCTTTGTATTTTTGAGACGAGAAAGACCAAATGCAAAAAAAGAAGCTTTGACCAAAATGGTAATATCAACTTCAAGTTACTGTCTAAAATGTGTTTTTATTCTGGAAGAACTTTGTTCTAAATTGTAGTTCATTTGGCATGAAAGCATCTTCACACTGATATTTGGCTGCATGTTTATGATCACTTTTTTTTTTTTCCCAGAAAGGTCACTCATGAATCTTACGCATAAGTTAAGAACTCAGTTTTCCAGGTTTTTTGTGTGTTAGTAACTATTTCTTCCATGTAAAACATTAGCCTTGCTGTTACATCAACGAGCAAGGATGGAGAGGTTAGCAAAGGAACTGAAGCTTGAGAAAGAAGAGCTTGAACGCCTGAAAGCCGAAGTCAATGGTATGGAGCATGATCTAATGCAGAGGAGGCTTCGAAGAGTTAGCTGTACAACTGCAATTCCAACAGTAAGCAATTTGTTAGTATTTTAATTCAGGATACAAATTTATTTTTTATGTTTTCATGAACTGAAGAAGTATACAAAAAAAATATTTTGGGGTATAAAATCTTCAATCTTTGGAGATTGATTTTTTTGTAAGTTCTTGGCTTGTTGTAAAGCAGTTATTATAATTTAAGGAACAGATATGTGTCCAACTTCCTCAGTGTTCACAGAATTTCTGAAACTTGTATACATGTGCTTTTCTGGATCACAGAACTTAATAGATAGTTACTTTCCTAACAACCTATAAAAGTGTATGTCCAAGTCTATTTGAAGAGCCTGAGCCATATACAGCTTGGTGTTCATGCAGCAAGGTTTCACATCTTTTTTTAAAAGGTATTTTGTTATATTGAGGTATTTTGTTGAGTAGTTGCATCTCCTAGACAATCTGTTTCCCGGTTGGTATGTGCAGGATGTGCCAAGTAACTTCAGTAGCAGTGTTGGCTCAAATAGTTGGCACCTCTCTCTCCTCTTTTCCTTGTTGATTCTTCCTATCTGTGTGACTTCCACCTGCTGTGTGACTTGCACCTGTTAGCTGCTTAACTAGTACAGCTGCTGTATGTCTCACCTGTCTCAGTGGAGCATTTGAAAGGTATGTTCCTGGGAGGAATACAGAGGCACTGTCTGAGTGTGCAAGGATGAGGTTAGGAAAGCCAAAGCCTAACTGGAGTTGAATCTGGCACAGGATGTCAAAGACAAAGAAGGACTTTTGTTAGTGCATAGGTGACAAAAGGAAGGCTAGCGAAATGTGGGTCTGTTGCTCAACGAGACCTGGTTACATAGCACATGGAAAAGGCTGAGTTACCGAATGCCTTCTTTGCCTCAGTCTTTACAGGCCTTCAGGAATCCCGAGTCCTGGTGACCCCGGGAAGGGTCTGGAGCAAGGAAGGTATACCCTTGGTGAAAGATGATCAGGTCAGGGAATACCTAAGCAAAGTGGGCATACATGAGTTCATGGTCCTCGATGGGGTGCACCAATGAGTGCTGAGGGAGCTGGCAGATGTCATTGCCAGGCCACTCTAGATAGTCTTTGATTGATTATGGTGTGTGGGAGAAGTGCCCAAAGACTAGAGGAGTGCAAGTGTCACTCCTGTCTTCAGGAAGGAGGACCCAGAGAACTACAGGCTGGTCAGCCTCACCTTGATCCCTGGGAAAGCAATGGAGCAGCTAATCCTGGAGACCATTTCCAGGCACATGAAGGACAAGAAAGTGATTAGTAGTAGTCAGCATGGATTCACCAAGGGCAAGTCAAGCTTGATCAATTTGATAAACTCCTAGAATGAAGAGACTGGCCTGGTAGATGAGGGGAGAGCAGCGGTTATTGTTTACCTAGATTTTAGTAAGGCTTTCAACATTGTCTCCTGTAAGACCTTCATAGAGAAGCTGATGAAGTATGGGCTGGATGAGCAGACAGTGAGGTGGATTTAAAGCTGGCTGAACAGCCAGGCCAGGAGTGTGTTAATCAGTGGCACAAAGTCTGGTTGGAGGCCAGTAACCAGTGGTGTACCACAGGGGTCAATACCGATCTGATCCTGTTTAACATCTTCCTTAATCATCTGTATGACGGGGCAGAGTGTACCGTCAGCAAGTTGACACAAAACTGAGAGAGTTGTGCTGCCATTCAGCAAGGGGAAGCACTAAGTCCTGCACTTGGGGAGGAACAACCCCACATACCCATGTAAGCTGGGGTCAACCAGCTGGAAAGCAGTTTTGCAGAAAAGGCATTCGTGGTCCTACTGGAGACCAAGCTGAATATGAGCCAGCAATGTGGCAAAGACGACTAATGGTATCCTGGGCTGCATTAGGAGTGTTGCCAGCAAGGGGAGAGAGCAGCACTGGTGAGGCCAAACTTGGAGTATGGTGTCCAGGAGTGGTCTCCCCAGTATGAGACACACACGGTCGTACTGGAGAGTTCAGTGAAGGGCCACAAAAATGATGAAGGGATTGGAGCATCTCTCCTGTGAGGACAGGCTGAGAGAGCTAGGACTGTTTAGCCTGGAGAAGAGAAGGCTCAAGGGGGATCTTACCAATGTATATAAATACCTGAAGCGAGGGTGCAAAGAGGTTGGAGGCAGGCTCTTTCCAGTGGTGCCCAGTGACAGTACTAGAGGCAGTGGGCACAAACTGAAACACAGCAGGGTCCCTCTGAACTTCAGGAACCACTTTTTTTACTGTGTGGTTGACTGAGCACTGGCACAGGTTGCCCGGAGTGGTTGTGGGGTCTTCGTCCTTGGAGATATTCAAAAGCTGTCTGCCCTCTGGGCAGAGGGGTTGGATCACATGACCTCCAGATGTCCCTTCCAACCTCAAACATTCTGTGATTTTGTGACTCTGTAATGCTGGAATGTATCCTAGGATAGGATAGTTACTCCTACATATGTGTTAATAATTACTGCTGCTAGCATTAAGAACACTTTGTATTCCAGTAACTTGGGGGTTCTTAATGATATGCAAATGTATGGACTTAAATAACTGATTATTCTGTTAAGAATAATTACCTTCTTGCAGCATTGAAAGATTTAAATATACTAGGCTAGAAGGTTTGGCATGTTGCTGCTCCTTGGGGTGATGCAAATAAATAAACTTCTGACCTTACTCAGTTATAATAAGTAATAATTAATGTGAACCGCAGCTCATATTCTGTTTCCTGAACATCTTGTTGTAAACTCATGTAGCAAGTCATCAATATGTACAGAATTTTATAAGGTGTATGGTTTTATAAACTTAAGCTCAGCTATGTCTTCTTACTAATGAATTTTAATATTGGGTAACTGGCTCATTTTTGTTGGTTCGTTTTCCTCCTCAAATGCTAGTAGAAAAATGGTTTTTGAGGGAATAAATTAGTAGAGGGGATGGGACAGACAGTGGAATCTTAGCTATTTTTTTTCAGTGCCTTATCTATACTCAATTTCTAATAAAGCTGTTAACAAAGATACAGCAATGTTATTTCTATGTCAGATAAGATACTGACTTTCCCACAATTACTGTTTTGGGTTGTTTCTTTCTAGCCTGAGGAAATGACCAGATTGAGAAGCCTCAACAGACAGCTCCAGATAAATGTTGACTGTACGCTGAAAGAAGTTGATCTCCTTCAATCTAGAGGTATAGAATTGACATTTTTTTTTAAATGTAATTTAAATATGGACAGGAGTGGTGCAGACGACACCAAGTTGGGCAGGAGTGTCAATCTGCTTGAGGGAAGGAAGGCTCTACAGAGGGACCTGGACAGGCTGGATCAATGGGCCGAGGCCGATTGTATGAGGTTCAACAAGGCCAAGTGCTGGGTCCTGCACTTGGGTCACAACAACCCCATGCAGCGCTACAGGCTTGGGGAAGAGTGGCTGGAAAGCTGCCTGGAGGAAAAGGACCTGGGGGTGTTGGTCAACAGCCGGCTGCACACGAGCCAGCAGTGTGCCCAGGTGGCCAAGAAGGCCAACAGCATCCTGGCTTGTATCAGGAATAGGGTGGCCAGCAGGAGCAGGGAGGTGATTGTCCCCCTGTACTCAGCACTGGTGAGGCTACACCTCAATTACTGTGCTCAGTTCTGGGCCCCTCACTACAAGAAGGACACTGAGGTGGTGGAGCGTGTCCAGAGAAAGGCAACAAAGCTGGTGAAGGGTCTAGGGCGCAAGTTGTTTAGCCTGGAGAAAAGGAGGCTCGGGGGGAGACCTTATCGCTCTCTACGGTCACCTGAAAGGATGCTGCAGCAAGGTGGATGTCAGTCCCTCCTTCCACGTAACAAGTGATAGGACAAGAGGAAATGGCCTCAAGTTGCACCAGGGAGGTTTAGATTGTATATTAGGAAAAATTTCTTCACGGAAAGGGTTGTCAAGCATTGGAACAGGCTGGCCCGGGAAGTGGTTGAGTCCCCGTCCCTGGAGGTATTTAAAGATGTGTAGATGTGGTGCTTAGGGACGTGGTTTAGTGGTGGACTTGGCAGTGTTAGCCTTATGGTTGGACTCAATGATCTTAAGGGTCTTTTCCAACCTAAATGATTTCATGGTTCTAATATAGTATGTACTTAAATGTGGATACTTGGACTCTAGTTCAATCTTGATGACCAGTTATCAACTTACCTCTAGAAGGTGTCTTTTTCAGTTGCAACCTGATAAACTTGACTTGCTAATTTTTTTGTTGGCCAAATTAAATTACATTACCAAGAAAGTGGTGACTTTAAAGTGACTTTGTCAAGAGCAAATTTAAAAAAAAAAATACTCCTTAATGAAGGTTCTTTACTTAAATTTTTAACTTTTTGCTGGCAAAGGCTCTGACCAGGTAATACGAAACAGAAGTACAGGTTGCAAAAAAGAAGTTGGCAAACAGAAATCTACTTAGGTCTTTAAAAATCCTCTTTCTGCAACAGAAACTTGACATAAATACAGTCAAATAGATTAGAATACGCATAGTCCTCCTTTTTTACCAAGAATATGTCCTACAGGAAGATACACGTTTTCACGTATTTTTAAGGCAATACAGAGCATTGAGCTGGAGTTGATTCTTCAGTATGGGATTAGCCTACTAAAAATTGCAAAACTGAAAATATGAGACAGAAGACTACTTAGGAAAAAGCTGATATATCATGTCATAATAAAAAGATATATAAATTCTGAAGCCTCTGGATGTTCATGTTGTTGGCATAGGCATGTAAATAACCTTGGAGTTATGCTTTCTTACTTTTCTTTTCTGACAGGGAACTTTGATCCGAAAGCCACGTGTAACTTCTATGATAACATAGAGCCTGGTCCTGTTGTGCCACCAAAGCCATATAAAAAGGGTAGGTCAACAAACAAGCATCAAGTTACGTAATCTGCATCGAGAAAGCTTTTTCTTTTTCCCCTTCTCTTTTTAAAAACCCCTGTGATGACAGGAAGCAATTCTAATGATTATGACTTTTCTCTATACATAAATCAAAACAGAACATTTTTGTATAAGTGCAGTAATCCTGGCTACAACTTGTTTTCCTCAGGCAGGTTGTTGCAAATGAATGTTCTGTCAATATGTTGTTTGTAAATACTGTTATGCACTATTAGAAAAAGAGTTGAAAGTGTACAAACTTTTACGTGTTAACTTGAGCTTCCTAATTATGTTTTTTAAAAATACTTCGGGGTTAAAAGCTCTACAGTTTGTTTAGCTGTCTTCTAATGTGTTGTTAGGATTTTATAGTTTATTTGGGATCTTTTATGCAAGTTTAATTGGTCACAGCAGCTTTTTAAAATTTGCATTTATATTTTTAATTATGTTTTAACTTGACTGGTCATGCTTTAACTATTTTTTTGTGCAGTGTGAATTTCACAGTAGCCCTGAATTTTTAGCACAGGAAGAGCTTCAGACATTTTAAGGACCAAGACAGAACACCTTTCCTCATGTCAGTCTAAAGAGACAACAGTGTCCCACTTGCACAAATTCGTTACTGGTTTCTAAAATTTTCTGTGTTAATTGTATAGTAGCTAGGATTCATAGCCAGCTGAGGACACTTAAATTTTGTGTGAGCACAGGAGCTATGTATTTAGTTTCACTTTTTGCCCAGTGGAGATTCAGTCAGTACATCCCAGAGCGACTCAACGCACCGTTAGTAGACATCTAGTGGCCGTGTAGCTCGGTAGCTCTCTGAACTCCACTACGTTTAGTGGTGATTTTGGAGCAGGATCCTACCTTTTGTCTCGGGTATTTTGGGACCTTTTCTTTTTTCTTCCTGAAATCTGTTAAAAGAATGCTTTCAGATGTTAGTGAAAGTGTTATGAGTGATAAGGTTTATAATATTGTGTCTCCTCTTACTGTAACTAGCACGTACTAAAAGTTAGTGGAAAAGTAGTCACTATTCTGGTTCAGTAATTGTACAGTCTGCTTGAAAAATCCAAATTTTGTAAATAAGTTCTAGTTGCTGATAAGCACTTCACAAAGGTTTTTGCAGTTGAATTTTGAATTCATGTAAGGAAATTTTTCCCCCACTTTTGAAGCAAGTATTTTACCCTAAGCAAATGCTTAGTATGTGGAAATTTAAAAGAAAGAGAAGGCCCAGAACTACTGCTCGTGGTTCAAAACGGAAACGATATTGGGATGTGTTCCCTGCATAGGTGGTAGTGTCCAAGAAAAACAGTAGCAGCAGGTGAGTAGTGGCATGAAGGCAGATGCCTGGATTCATGTTAAATTGCAGTGGTCATGTGGTTGATTTTAGGCACTGCTACTTTGTGATGCTTGAAGAGATTCTCTTAATTGCACTTGTCTATTTGATTTAATATTTCAAAGCAAAATAGCATGCAAAACTTGCATGAAATAAGTGATTTTATTTCACAATTGGAAAGATAGTGTCTTGTAAGGATTTGTACAACTCTTATGACTAGCTTCCTGGTTTTGTCTGTCAACTTGTTAGAGGTCAGTTTTAGGGCTGGTGTACTGTATTCTGAGCTTGGCTTTTACCATCGAGTCATCAAATTTTTTTTTTTTCCTTGAAAAATTCCATTTCCTTAATATTCAGCTGTTGAAAGTGTAGGCAGACAGACAGGTATGGGCAGACAAGGGTCTGCTCTGTGCTGCCATCTGGCTAGTCAACATGAATGCAGTCTAGTGCCCACACTACTTGCTTAGAAGGAATTTGTTGAGGCCAAGCACTGTTAATGTGACTGTGCAGCTTCTGGACTAGAGAGGGTTTGCATCTAAGCAAGGAGGTTACTTTTAATTTCTTTAAGTATGTCTCTGAAGACGAACCTAAGTACTATTTGCACTAACTTTGTCATCAGCCATCTGCTAGATTTCTTAGCAGGTGACAGCAATGTGTGCACTTTGAATTACAAATTGCAGTCCTTTTTTACAGTGTAAGTTCTCTTTTAATTAAGCTGTTCTACAGACGTTTGTGTAGCGGATGGGTATCTTAACCTTATCTTCTAGGTGTGTGTGCTAATGTTGTTTCAAATATTAACATTTCGTAAAATGTTGTGTTTCCACATCCTAGGAGTCACTTTTAGTAGATAACCTGAGGTCTTGAAGTGGTGGTAGGAGACATCAGAAAAATGAGTCTTTCCGTGGGTTGATACCTAATGTATGATTTGCATACATACTAGTTTTGCGAATGAAAACAGACTTAAGTGCTGCTTCATGTACAGACATCCCTGCTGCAAAGCCCTGAGAAAGAAAAACAATCATCTTGTTTTGAAACAGGCCTACCATTTTATTTTTATATTGTATTTTCTTTAGCCTGGATAAATGCTAGAAAAAGATGCAGAAAATATATCATCTGTCAGACTGTTTGAAGGAACTTAAGTTAGAAGTAGTCTCTCACTTCAGGTAAGGTAGGGTTATTGGAATTTAGAATTTGGTAATAGACTGCTGTACATAAATCTATGAAGTCATTCCTTAACAGGGTGGTGTTGCAGTGCCAGTAACAAACTTTTCAGTACATTTTAAGCTATTAAACCTTTAGCAGTATCAGTGACCTAACAGCAGTGACTGCTCTTTTTGTTTTTAATGTCGTATGGTTAAGTGACTCTTTACAGAAGTGAAATACTTTAAATATTCAGATTTTGCAAACTGAATTAGAAGTGCATTAACAAAAGACCTTTAATGTCACCGAAGTGGAAAGTTTTCCACATTTATTTTAAGATAGAATGTTTAATGAGGTGACAAACCAGTAGTATGATCTTGCCTATCATCCTTCTCTTCTGAAATAAGAAAAAATGTTTTCCTTTGGCTTTTTTTTAGAGCATCAAACCAGCTCTAAACAGACTCCACGGACTCAGCCAAGAGATGAAGACTTTGAAGGGGCTCCATGGAATTGTGATAGCTGCACCTTTCTAAATCACCCAGCACTAAATCGCTGTGAGCAGTGTGAAATGCCACGATACACCTGAAAATCAGGAAGGGGCTGCATTGGGTTGAAAGCAGGCTCTCGAGCCGACAGCTGTAGGAGAAGGAAACATGGGGAACCTTTCAGTCCATCTGCCCAGCCTTTGCCAGTCAACAGTCTTCATATTGCAAGGGGTGGGAGTAATGTGTTAAGATGTTTCTGCTTGTGCTACACTAAAAATAAATAAATTAAGGGTGAAATTCTTTCTTACCCCATTGCAGTGAGCAAAGCAGAAAATGAAACCTGAAAATGTAAAAGGATTAATTTTGGGAAGAATGTATACAGGAAAGCAAGTAACTACTGGTATTTAGTCCTGTGGTTATAGTTACTGCTTAGTGGCGCTAAAAGAAAAAATACTGTTTTCTTTTTTTTAAAAAAAAAAAAAAAAAAAGGAATTATAGGACTCTTAGTAATGTTGTGAAATGTTACACTTAACCAGAAAAACTGAAGAGCCAGAGCTGACTTACCCTGGCCACAGCTAGCTGGAAAACAAAGGCTCCCTGTGCTTCTAGATTGTAAGCTACTGAAAAAGAAGACAGGTAAATGCAATGATAAATTTTGCAATGTATAAAAAACAAGGAGAAGGGTATTTGTAATTGCTGCTTTTTTTCAGGGTAACTTATGTCTACAGAAAATTGCTGTTTGAAATAGTAACCCAAGGTGACTAAATGAGATACCGTATGAGTGTTACAGAGAGTTTAATCAGAGGTAATTTTTTACAATCCCTTTTGCTTGTACAGTGCTCACCTGGCTGTGTCAACACTGGTAATAAACTAAGAATGAATTCTACCGTATTACAGATGAAAATACTGCTGCATGCTTTCATTAGGCTGTCGTGTTTCAAAGCTAAAAGTATGCTTTTATATACAACAATCTTCTAAGCCTGTGCTCTGTAGCAGCACAGTGAAATATGCCAAACACAGACTACTCTAAATTCAGTTTGGAAGACTTGAGCTCAGCCATGGTTGTGTATGAGAAGAGTTTGTACCCAGTTCCTTAGGCCTTTTCAGCTTCCAATTTGTGAAGAATTCACGAAGTTTACAGCACAGAAGGTACTTTGTGCCCCAGTTCAAAGTTAGCTGAAAAATAATTATTCAGTTAGCTCTTCAGTAAAGGTTTATTTGCACATTGTTAATAAACCAGCCTGTATAAAATAGCAGACGTCAGATCCTGAAAAACTACACACTGCATTCTTTTTATTTTGATCAGGAAATATTTGCTGCAGGTTGAAGAACACAAGACTTGCAACTGAAAATCATACTGGTACTTTTATGCATATGATATACTGTATTATAAAGGTGATGTTCAATTTGTTTGAATGCTTCAGGTTGCTGTAATAAAGCACTCAATACTTGTGAAATTGAACTTGGGTTTGGGCAGCTGAATGATTATGTTACACAACTGTGCAACTGAGTAGGATGTTCTTGTGTACTGGTCAGAAGCTGGTACAGTGCATTTGAGGTTTTTATGGTATAACTTTGTCAAGATTCAGACACGCGACCAAGCATGTCAGCTGAGTTATGGTAATTGGCTTTGCAACTGTGAGGCAAAATGTGCTAGTTAAACCTTACCAGAAGAGATTTAAACTACTTCATTTTAAATTGTTCTTAGCTCATGGCAGCCACATCCATATGGTCAATTACCACAACTCACTTGATGTGTGATAACATGTTAAGCTGTGGTAGAACAATCATACGTCTGAAACCTTATTTAAAATCAAGCAGCGTTTGTAAGGGGTGGGTGGAGGAAAACTCATCTTGACTGCATTGCTCAATCTGGTGTCTTCTCGCCCTGCAGTTTATAAAGATAACAGTAAAAACCAAACTGTGATCTTAGATGAGGAACCAATATTTTATCTGGCATTTTTCAATATGTTCTTGCACTAATTAAATCTTCAGCATAATTTTAAATAAGCTAAGGGATCTCCAGCAATCAGTGTGCACCACTGATGAGCAAAACAAAGTCAAAGGCATCAGAGCTAGTCTTCCTTCCTTCCCCGCTCCTTCCCCCCGGAGAGCTCATCACATGTGGAAAGGGGTAAAAAAATTACGATCAAATGAAGTTGGAAGGCAGATATTAATTTTGTTCATGTAAGTGGACAGCCTGCCAAAACTGGGATAACTAGAAAACAGATGAGCAGAAGCATTATACCTAGGATAAGCAGTACCATTGCTGTTATCAGCTGTATAATGAATTAGTCAAAACAATACCAGTAACTTCATGACTTTTCTGTCATGATGCCTTTGCCTTTGTATTATTTCAACTTTCTGTTCCTTTGTACTTCCGTTGAAGTTCTAGAAGCATTTGTTTTTGCTGGAATTACAAAATGATAGCAACTGAAATGACAGTCAGCAAATGAGAGTAGGTGTGCATCAATACAGTTGTACCATTTTCAGACAGAATAGATGCTGCTTTGGGGGTGGGGAGAAATGCATGCAGTCCAATAATTCCCTGAACTGTAATAACCATAAACGGAGACTTGCTAATCTTAGTCATAGCTTCACCAGAGGAAGAGAAGGAAGGCTGCCGTGACAGCAAGATACTTTTTGGAAGACTGAGTGAGCGTCATTAAATTGCAAATTGATTCCTTCATACCGATAATTTTACTCCAGTTTTTCAATTACTCTCATTTGTTGCCTGTACAAAAACAACCCCTTGTGTTGTATTCTTTTACTTGTAAATGCCCATACTCAGACATCAGTAGTAAAGACTTTACATGGTGCTTCAATATTTTTAGTTTGTTAGAATGTAAATTGTATTTTGAATATTGGAAGATCCATTTTCCTTCTGAAAGCAGGTGACACCTTTCACACCCGAACTGAATTGTAGATTATGCCAGAAAGATTGGTTTATGTAATATTTATTGAATGCACATAAAACCCTAATGTGTCAGCTGGCATACAAAATGCACTGTATTGTATAAAACGTGTGTGTGTGAATGGTGGGATGCTGATGCCGTTGTGTTGAGTTAATGCACTACTTGTGTGTTCTTTTTTTCCTTAATGACTGAGCTTTCCCTCAACCATGCTACTAGAGTGGTAGAGTTTGTAACTGACTTGGACATTCAGATATTCAAAATTATTTCACTGTTCATTGAAATTTTATAAAGCTTATTTTATATTTACTGTGCTATTAAGATGAATTCCCTTTAATTCTAGAATACTACTGTAGTTCTTCAAAAGTTTATTTAGAGTGGGGCTTGTGGAAAATGATTCACAACATAGTAAACCAAAAGAAATCCTGAACTTTGGATCTACTTTTAATTTGATGTAATTATTAGTCTTGTTTGGGTGAAGAGGAAGGGGGTGGGAAGTCAAGCAAAAGGAAATACTTTGTAAAATGTAGTCTTAGATCAGATTGAATTGTGTATCTGTGTGTCTGTGGTATGTGTGTGTTTCCCTTGAAAAATGGGAGGTGTGGTGAAAAGGTGTAATAATTCTTAAAAGAGCTGGTCTCAGTACTTTCTGGTTATTATATGCTACTAAATCACATTTTTTTAAAAAAAACCCAACTTTTCTTTCAGTTACTTTATCTGTCCCAGTTACACATCTCTCATTTCAATTTCTAAATACTTTTACATTTAATATTGATTGTAAAACCCCTTGACATGGAAATAAAAATACTTGAGTTGAAATGGGGAAAAAACAAAATAAAAACAATAAAGAATGTTTTAAAAAAGAATGTGAGAATATTAATATGTTAAAAACAAGCTTGTCATCAGGATGATAGTTTCTGTTTTAAAATTCAGTGGTATACCCTAGAATGTGAAAATGACTGTCCTGACGAGAAGCGGACAGTTGGACATAAACAATTCATCAGCTTGTTTGGTACCACAGCATTTACGTGCTCTGTACTACAGTGACTCTAAATCCCATAAAGCAAGAAGACATGCACAGATATCACATCTCGTAGTCAGTACTGTCTCTATGTGCTGCTGCATTTGTTTCGTTTCAAAACGTCGATATTATATGAAGCTAGCCGTGACTGAATTTTGCCAGATTTCTTCAGTTTGGGGCTTTCATTGCTGTTTATGTCCATAAATATTAATGCGAATATTTTTCTTGGTTTTGAATAATCGGAAATCAATGGAGTTAATGCAATATTATAATCCTGGATTTTCAGTACCTTTGAAACCGATTTATAAAAAATGTGTTCTTGAAACTTATTTATTTATGGTGGCACCAGTGTATCTAATCCATATTTCCTGCTGTGTGAAACCCTGTTAAATTTTTTCATTAAAAAAGAAGACACGATCTTGTTTAATCCTGTATATATGGTGTCTACATTCTAGATTTGTGTATGCTGTGAATGAACTTATTACTAAGAGATGAAATTGTATAAAAGCATTCAGAGGCTATGCATGCATGGTACCTCCAGAAAGTGCATACTCCGAGTTGCAGATTCCTGCAAAAATAAATTAATAAAACTAAGCAAACAGCACATCCTGCATTTGTTCTTGTATGTAGTAGGAAACATTTTTAAAATACAGCCTTTTTGCTTTCATAGTCCGATTGTTTCTGGTCTTCCACTTGAACCCATAGCTATAGCAAATTTGTTTCAGTGGCTTTTGGGGTTTTGTTTTTGGTCATCAGTATGATTCTCATTAGGCAATTGCTGAATATTGAACTGGGGTCCAAATCCTCTTCCTGTGAACGTGGACGGTTTGCGTAAGCAGGAGTTCCACGTAGGCGGTGGATATTCTGTGTGGCTTCTGGTGTAGAAACAGGACATTGGGTGCCCAGAGTGTGGAGCTGAGCTCATCACCCTTCTCTTATTTTTGAAGGAAAAGTTGTTACTAAAGGAGAAGCCTTACCTACTACAGCAGGTGATCGATCACCTTTTGTTTGTAGTCTCGATAGCGGGCTTTCCTGCTTATCCTCCATAGTGTTGAGTATCTGGATTACGAAAGTCCATCTTCTGCTGTAACCTCTTACAGAAAGGCACTGCTCTGGGAGAGGGCCGAGAATTTGAAATGCATAAATCTGTATGCAGGCAACTTATTAGTATGTCTTCTCAATTATCTTGATTGCATCAGCTCACCGTAATCTAAAATCTGAAAGCTCTGTCACTGTGCTACAGCTGTATTTTGTTCGCATACAGGTTCGGTCATTAAACACATTCTGGTCTCACAAACCTACTGCAGCGTTGGTGTTGAGCTTTTGTCAGCAAACGTGTAAGAACTTAGTTTTGCATTCCTTTTGCTAAATTGAATTTATAAAAATTTCAGGATAGGTTTGTATTTTAATCAAGCTTTCGATTCTTTCACTTTAGAAACCATTGCAATTGAAACTTTTTAATTGTTTAAAAAAGTTTCAAAGCTTTAAAAAAAAAGTTTAAAAATGTTAAGGTACCTGTAAAATACATTATGCTAATGGGGAACACACAAAGCCAAAAGACCAGCAGGTCTAACAACTGACAGCGGCCACTAGTTTGTTGTTGTTCTTTTCCCTGAAGTCACGAGGAGGAAGATCTGCCTGAAATGAGCGCATAGAACTAGTTGATTTATTCATAAGAATTGCTTGGTTTTGACAGTACCGCACCATGTCTTAAACCTGTGGCGTGCAGAGAGATGATT